TGCAGGTGTCGGAAGCTGCCCTGATTCAGCTACGGTTCTGTTGCCGTCTGTTCTTCGTTCCAGCGGGGAACAGGGACAACTTACTTCTCAAGAAACAAACCCATGCTCCTAAGCATGCTCAATGTTTAGCAGGAGGCAAATCCATGCCAGCCGCAGAGCCGCAGCTGCTTCTACTCTATCACAGGCCTTGAATGGTGCCTTGAATATATACCCGGAAGTCGCGAGCTGAATCGCCCGATGACTGACACAAGATCGTGAGGTCTATGCGGGGTCTCGGCCGGCCCCCGTCTGCTACAACCAATGCTATGCAGTCTCATGGATGAGAGAGAGCATTTCTCCTATCAAAAGTTGTGGTTGCTGGATCGACAGAGCTACAGACTTATAGACGGACACGCAATGTTTCCTTTTTACTTGAAGGGTGCTATAGTTGATGCATCAGCGCTGGCGACCTTCGATCGTCTCGCTTCTTTGGCATCTCAGCAGCAGCTTCCGATTCGCGAGAAGGCACAACCGGCACTTGCAAGATCTTGATAGCATCCGCCTGGAATGACTGCGCAGGCTGCATGCCCCCAATCCAGAGTCTAGAGACTCAGCCTTGTGTGTTGCTTAAGCTCCTCCCCGACATGAGCCGCCAGAGTGGAGAGATGAGAGCCAGGGTGATTCAGCAGCTCTTGAGGCGGCCCACTCTCAACGAGACGGCCTGCGGACATGACAAGAATCCGGTCGCATCCCAGCACCGTCTGGAGCCGATGTGCCACGGTGATTTGGGTCGACTGCCCGAACATTGCTGATCGCAGAAATCGTTGAATCAGGCGATCTGTAGCAGCGTCTATGTTGGACGTCGGCTCGTCAAAGACCCGGACCTTCGCAGACCAAAGCAAAGTACGTCCAATGGTCACGAGCTGGCGCTCTCCTTGGCTCAGCGACGAAGACGAAGACGTGTGCAGCAAGTCAGGACGCTCAATCCGCTCGAGCACCTGCGTGAGTACTGCATCGGAGTGCTCATCAAAGGGGTCTAGATTCTGCCGCACGCTCCCTTCTATCAGAAGTGGTTCCTGTGGGACCACGGCAATTGCCCTACGCAGCTTGCGAAGCCCGATGTGGGCAATGTCCACACCGTCAATCAAGATACGGCCTTCGCATGCCTCGTTCAAGCGCAGAAGCAGCACCATGAGTGAGCTTTTGCCAGCGCCAGAACGCCCCACCATCCCTACCTTCTCGCCAGGAGATAAATGAAAGCAGATTCGATCCACGGCCTTTGGCATGCCTGGTCGGTAGACTAGAGACACATCCTCGAAGACAATTCTGCCTTCCTCCGGCCAAGACGCTTCCGTCAGGGTCTTGTCGGTGCTGAGATGCCACTGAGGTTCTGCTGGGAGGATGCCTCCATTTCCGTACTGCAGAAGACGCTCCAGGCCGGTGAGCGACGTAAGGAGCATCTGCACACCCATGGACAAGAGGTTCAGGAAGTAAGGTAGCAAGAAGCTGTACGTCAAAGCCAATGCGCAGAAGCTAGGTGGGTAACGGTCCCGGTTCGCGATGACGAGCGCCGACGTCGAGCCTGCTGTCAGAAAGCAGATGAAATAGGCGAGCATTCCACCACAGTTGACTGACGCCAGAGCTGCATAGCTGAAGGCATGGTGCGCATCCAACTGGGAGCATAAGCGGTGTTCGAAGAATTCTCCAGCTTCCATGATGCGGATTACTTGACGACCGTTCACGCACTCGTTCACAGTGGTCAAGACAGGCCCCATGGCTGCATTAGCACATCCGCGAAGCCATCGGTTTGTACGGTAGACGACCCTGACCTTCAGAATGAACACCCCGCCTGTTGCAAGGACCACGGGCAACATCAGGTTTACTAGGAGCGAGACTTGCACAAAGAGCATCAAGACGGTTGCCGAGAGCTGCCATGTGTAATCAAACCACTTGGGCATCTCCTTGTCTACACCAGCCATGTCGTTGGAGAATCTAGACATGATCCTTCCAGAGGGAGTGGACTCGAAGAAGTGAACTGGAGCATGGAGCAAGTTGTCAACGCACTCGCCGTGCAGTCGGCGTGAGCTTCGTACGCCACCTTCTCCGAAGCAGTACGATGTCAGGCACATCAACACGACAAACACTCCAGCTGCAGCTCCATAGACAGTCAGGTAAACGTCATCGTCGGATTGCCTGCCCTCCATCCAATACGCTTCCCGAGCATCGACCCACAGTGCGAGCCAGTAGTCCACGAACGCCAAGGAGCAGTAGGCTGCAATGACTAAGAGGTTGCAAAGGCCGAACCAAATGTAGCCCATGCCTCTGACATATCGGACCAGAACCTGCAACGGTGCGGCCTCCAACTCCTCCTCTGCTCGAACCAGCCTGGCACTGCTCTGTTCCTCTTCTGACTTCTGCTTGTCCTTGGAGTTCTCTTCCACCTGCATTTTGGGTACTGCCACGCCTGAATTGTCTTTCGACAACATCGACGCAACATCACAGCCTGCTTCCAAACAGAACGCTCTCAGCGGGCCTTCTGACTGAAGGAGTTTCAAAGGGCAGCCCTGCTCAACGACCCTGCCAGCAGACAGCATGATGACATGGTCGAAATGCGGAAGCAGGCGAAGCTGGTTGAGCACGACAAGGCAGGAGTGACGCCCGCCGCGGGCAGTGACTGTCTTCTTCAACGACAAGAACACCTCATCCGCCACAATCAGATCCAGAGCCGAAATGGGGTCATCCGCGATGATGAGATCGGCGTCACGATACAAGGCTCGGGCAATGGAGAGACGCTGCTGTTGACCGCCAGACAATGTCGTACCTCTCTCTCCCACCTCGGTCAGCTCTTGCTTGGGCATCAGTCTCAGGTCCTCAGGGAAGGCAAGCTGAAAGGTCTGGTATGAAACTGGTCGGACTTTTCACCAGAAACTGCGATGCTAATCTGTTGACTCAAGCGCCCTAATCGCGGCGGAATATATACAGTCACGTTCACAATCATGGTCATTACAGGGAAACATGAACTGTAGTTCAGACTCAACCTGTTCTCGTGTTGTGAACTGGCTATACACTATACAATCTGCTAGTTAACCACTGGAGGTATGGCATAGTTGTCATCCTCATTGCATGTGGTGTCTGTGGTCTACCGCTCCCGGACTCAGCTAGTGTGGTACATACAGGCGTATGTCCGGCTGTAGCGTCTGCGAACTACGCGTACAGTTTAGCGCGGCTCACTCTGTACACTCTTTCATTAATTACCCTGATTATGAAATCAGGTTTCATGCTCTTTGTGAAACAGTCGGCAGCTTGCGTGGATGTATCAATCCAGTCGACACGATCTCCTCCTGCAAGGTAGATCTCGAAAGTTCGGTGCCCGTCTTCGGTAAAGATCGATTGCCGTAGCGCGCTGAGCTCTATTTGGAGTCTCTCATCTTGGACTCTTGCAGGGGCCTCTGTATTGAGATGGTCGGCCATGCTGCGACAGTCTGTCAAGGATACATGCGGAACCTTCGTTCTCGCAAGTTGCTCCCAGTCGGGGCCACGTGAACCAAAACCGTAAAGTTCAGCCAATGCGGCGGGGATCCTGTCACCGGATTCCTGCGCATTTTGGAGAGCATACGTTTCAGCTTGTAACGTGGCTCGGCACACGCGCTTGATGGTGGTCGATGCAAATGACACTACCATCGCGTCGTAGTTGCTACAGCTCGCGTCGCGTAGCTGTTGCTCTGGGACAAGGAAATGAATTCGGCCTTGTTGCGACTTGTTGTTGCTTTCGCCTGCGAAGCTGGCGTCCGAGGCCGTTAGCACTCATAACTTCTCAAAGTCAAAAGGTCCGTTACGGTACCTTAACTTCAGATTGCGCCACTTCTAAGCTAACTCTAGAACCTTGTTAGCCTCACATGCAGTGTGGCAATTGGCGATAGAGAATATCTGGCCTGGCCTGCCTAGGTATCCAGGAAAGACTGCCTACAACTGAACGGGGCTGGCGCTCCTCGCCACGACCAACTTGATCTGTGTGTTTCCTATTTGATTTAATACCAATATAGGTTATCTTATTAGTATTTATTATCGATGACATCAATTAACACATCGTTGCCTGATTTGTCGACATGCTTGCCACAGAAGCGTAGTCTACCAGACTCGCGGCGACCTACCTCAACCTTCTTGAGTAAGCGATCTATAATGGTACCGCCCTTGCCAATAGACGCCCATAAGAAGTTGTCTACGTGCGTTGTGAGCACACACACACACGACTTTTCCGCCTTCGCGGTAAAAGTAAAAGGCTGGAAAAATGCGACTCACTTGGAAGCCGACGTCGCGTGCTTCCCTGTCGACCTTTCTCCGAAATCCGCGTCCGCTATCACAGAGTCCATATACAGGTACTGTGACTCTGATTAAATGCATCGCCTCAGGGTCGATGCCCGGCAAGCCGCCACTGGGTTGGCGCATGAGCACCACCCTATCGATGGGTTCGGCCTGGAAATACGCGTCGCGTATATCGGACGATTCTACGGGCACACCATGAGATGCAGGCAGCAAATGCTGCCACTAGAGCATGCGTTTCAAGGTCGGAAGTCGGAGCGCCTGTCCGTACTTCTGTCGAGTCCTCAAAGTTGCCGCACGACACGAGCCTGGATTTAAACTCTGGTGAGTAGTTTGGTTTCAGGCGTTCGTGATAGTTTTTAATGGTATCGACCCATTTTGACGGAAATTTCTTCCATTCCTTGGCTCTTGATCCGTCGATGTGAGCTCGTACGGATGGGGTGCAGTTCCAGTACTTCAAAGACTCAGGGAGTTCTTTGAGTTCCTGCTCAACCTGTTCTTGCGACGCAAAACGGTGCTCCAGAATCCTGTGCATTTCTTGCGAATACGCACATTCGCTTCCTCTTCAACACGCCGCTCTTCAAAACGTGCGCGTATAGATGCAGGCAAATCATCCAACAACTCTGCCCTGCTGATACGGCGGCTCGGTGTCCATTCAGCGTCGGGCTCTGCAACACTAACTCTGCGCGATCGGGCAGTAGTTACAGGCGGTGGCGACCTTGACCTGCCTCTGGCTGTTGATGCCTCACCTTCTTCTTCCTCCTCGAAGATAGAAGATAGAGGTTGTGGTCCATCTTGACGGCCATCTGTGGTCCTTCTCCTTCTTCTTCTTCAATAGGCACATCCTCTGCGATGTCCTCTCCAGGTACATCACGCAAATCCTCAAATTGCTGCTGTCCTTGGATTAGGCTCTCAGGTAGGATAGCCTCTCCCTGCAGCACTGCGTGAGCTAGTGCCTCTGCATCCTGAGCTGGTCTCAGGTTCTGGGCGGAAACCAAAACTGGAACATTTTGGCATAAAACCCAAACTTTCTCATTCTGATTACCCGCAACACCTATGATCCTAGATGCAGTTGACCAGACCGTTTTACCGGTCTTGTCGCGCCTGAAGCACACCACATCTCCAACGGAGTACGTGTAAGGCAGTGGCTTTGCGTTCCTGAGCAAAGCTCTTTACACACGCTTAGATGTATCTAAGTGCACAATTGCCTTCTTAGCCTCATTTCGTGCCTGGTGAATCAATGCGAATCGGCTCTCGGGATCTGCTTGGTCCCAAGGGATCCAAGGTCTGTGCTGTTGTCCTCCTCCACTAGGGATGGAGGTCCTCTTACTGATTTCCCGAGTACCCACTGCGAGGGTGAATAACCACCGTGACGAAGCATGGTGTTCTTGGTGAAACAGCATTCATCCAAGACTGTTTGCAACTGTACCTGACCTGCGGCTTGAGTTTGCGAAACAACCTTGCGAACCATCGCCTTGAGTACTCCTCCATGGCGTTCCACCCTGCCTATGGTCTCTATAGCGGTGCGTGTGACACCTGAATTCCATGTGCTGCGCAGTATTGCGCTAGCACCCCTCGATTGTGAAGTCCTCGATCACATCGTCGGACCACTGGTCGGCCTGTCCATGAGGTCCATCGGCGTTGTATGGCCTCAAGGCATCGAGCTGCGAGCTGACGATGGGAGACCATCGCCTACGCGTACGATCTCTACCAGCTGGAAACACGTTCCCAGGCAAACCATATTCATCACTTGGTGCTTGGTGCCTTGTGCATCCAAGCATTCGAAGACATCTACGCCTAAGGCGTGATTGAACGAGTATCGTTCCGGCATGGATACGATATGTGCCTTTCGCCTCGGCTTGGTGTCCTCACATTCAGTGCATCTGTGGAGCTTCGCAGCTTCCACATATGATTTGTCAATCTTTGCGGTTCGAAGGAGGTTGATCAAAACCTTCCTTGGGCAGTGTCCGAACTGACGGTGGAGTCTGCGGATCGCTACGCGTACCCTCTGTGGTACGGCGCGCCACTTCTTCCTCTTTTCGGACTCCTCCAAGAGTAATCCTGGCAGGTCAACCTCGTCGAGCTGAGTCTCCTCAGTGATGGCCTCCTCGGAGGGGTCCATCAGTGCAAAGTCCTGGGGCGACTCAACCTGATCGAACGTACCATCATCGAATTCTTCGATTGATGGGTATGCTGTGTGCGACACCAGTGCAGTGGCCACTTGGTGTTCGGCCACGTGCTTGAGCCAGACTATAAAGTCTTCGGCAAACACGTCGTCAAAGCTTAGGGGTGACATATAGGGGTAACTATTAGTACACCATCCTTCAAAATCATCTAACAAACCCTGATCGTTGCCATAGAAGGAGATATCACTTATACCATACATTGGGTGTATTGGTCCACTAAAAGGTACGGAGTTCCTGCTAGTTCGCAGTGGCTAATCACTTCGTCTAATAGATCGGAGTGATTGAAACCTTCGTTATGGTCGTTATACCTAATAGCTACAACACCAAACTAGGTCCCAACTCCTGCAGCTCCTTCCTGGCTCCATTTGGAGTCCAGGGGCCTGTGGCACCAGTGCCCACGTCGATGCAATGGGTGCAACGGCTTTGCGCAACCCCTTGTGCAAAGCTGCGGGGTGTATGCGTTCCTCTTGCACCATTGCCTGGGTAACGCGATCTTGGAACACTACCATGAGTTGTTCTACGGCCTCTTGGTTGAGATCCGCGGTTGCATCGTCAGCGGTAAGGGCTTGTACGATGGGTAGCGCTTGCTCCGTTGCTTCGAGCTGCTTCTCGGATACAGGCTTGCGCTCGCGATGAAAATCTTGGGGTACCTCATCTATAAAGGTCCCACACATGCGGCAAAAGGTTCGGGACGTAGTCCTCGAACTTCCCCTGTGATCCGTTGCTTCGTGAGAGCATACGGCAGGGTCCACAGTGTAGACGTGTTCGCGGCGTTCCTGCGACACATTACCACAATCGCGGCAAGTTCTCCGAACAAAGTTTGCTGAGCTACCGGCGTGGCTAAAGTCGGTGCAATTGGTACATCGATCTTTGATCCTTGGGCGGATTCGGTGGTACCTTCTTTGGTCCCTTGCCACGGGGTCGTGGATTGTAGGTTCCCTCTGGGATACCTTGCGATGCGCGGGTCTCGCGGTAGGGCCTGTTATCTTGGCCTTCCATAATAGTATAATACTTATTCAACCAAGCCAAGAATTTCCTAAGGTGAGTAGGGGGGCTCGGTTGAGCCCACTTCACAAACTTTGCCTTCCTCGAGACCTCTTCATAGGTCTGGCCCTTGTGCTGACCGTGGACAAACCTACGGTCTCCACCTTCCATCTGCATGCTGCTAGATGGTTGCGCTGGCGCGGCCTTAGACCTAAGCTCGTTTACCATGTGGCTGCACAGGTCCTCGTCGTTGCCAGACGGGACATACAGGCCCCCATCGGGGTCCTGTCTCGGGGCAACAATCGCAATGTTGGCGCGGTTCTTCCCCTGATGCTTCCCACCTTTCTGGTTGGGAAATTTGCATTCAGGGTCCCCGGCCCAATGGCCAATCGCGCCACACCTCAAACACTTGGATTTTGCCTTCAGCGCCTTCATCTTGTCTCTGCGTTCATGCAAGGTGACATGGGAGCGGACAACCTTACCTTTACCTTTGCCTTTTCCGCGGCCTTTGCCCTTTCGGCTTTTTGCTTTGCCAAACGCGGCGTTGGCTGCAAGCTGGAGTTGGATCGCGTGTCCACTCTCNNTCGAGGCAGTTAAGGGCTAGGGCCTCATCTTGATCGAGCTCGAAATCCTCGTAGCTCGGATCATCCTCCTCCTCTGCTGCAGGGTAGGAGTGCGGCTCGTAGTCGATTTCGTCCGCAAGGGCGGGGTACGATGTGTCGTCGTACTCCTCTGCTTCCTCGTCCTCCTGCTGGTACGCAAACTGCGCCTCATCTTCGGCGATGTAGGCGCGGCGGGTAAAACCTTCGCCTTTACCTTTGCCGTAACCTTTGGAACCGGCCCGCGACCGTGTTCCATGATTGCTGCTGGGATGGCGACGGTCCTGAAAGGTACCGCCTCCACGTAAGGAGCGACCTTCCTTTAGGTGCACACCGCTGTAATGCTCCACGAGGGTAGCACTAACAGCTTCAAGGCTTTTGGCGTTCGAGGTGCAGGCTTTGATCACGAGAGACTCCTGTCGGCTAAGGCCGGACAGCTCGAGCAGGAGCTCCACCCTCATCGGCTCAGAGAGCTCGATGCTATCGTCGAAGGGTTTTTTAGCAACTTCCACCAGCGTCGTCGCCGACTGACGTACGATAGCATTGATTCATCACCTTGGCGGGCTAGGGCACCCTGGCGTTGTCCTGCCCTGAAGAACTCGCGGACTTCTTCTGCAGCGCGTGGGAACACCACGCCCCTCATGCTTGAGATGAAATCGCGCAACCCACCGGGTGCGGTCAACGCCTCTATGCCTATTTCCCGGGCTAATTCAAAGGCTTCATCCCGAAGTCCTTCAAGAACCTTATGAACCATCTCAGTCCTTGCCTTGATGGCATAGGACGTGGACTCATCCATGGGTGCAGCGGCGGTGGTGCTCTTGACAGAGCCCGAATCAGAGGACTTTGGTGCACGCGTGGGCGGCCTCGGGGGAGGTCCGCCTTGGGCCTTGGGATGCAGATGCCTCGGCTTCCATATCGGGCTTGTCCTCGGCGGGTACAGAAGTTTCGGCTGCCTCAGCGCGGCTGTCGTCGCCGTCGTCTGGGTCGATAGACTTATCGCCCTTCGACGTCTTGGTCTTTGCTCGAATTGCGTATTCGTAGAGTTTAAGCCTCATAGAGGTCCTAAACTCCCAATCATGAAAAGTGCTCGGCGAACCATCATATATATAGCTGCCGCTTCTGGTCTCCAGGGGAGTACCAGAATAGGAGGTACGGGAAAACCGAAGCCCCGCAACGGACATGGCGATGGTGGAGGAGGCACGGAGATAGGGAAATGCAGGGTCGAGGTTCAAGGACTCGCCCAGGTCCTCACGGATCTACAGGCTATTAAGTCCCCGCTCGGCCGGTCCACCAAGGGGGTACCGGCTCCGCCACCAGTTTGAAACTGGTCGGACTTTTCACCAGAAACTGCGATGCTAATCTGTGGACTCAAGGGCCCTAATAGCGGCGGAATATATACAGTCACGTTCACAATCATGGTCATTACAAGGAAACATGAACTGTAGTTCAGATCTGGCTAGGCATTCTGCCTTTTTGCCTCTGAGTCCCAGAAAAGCAGCATTCAAGTCCTGACGGTGGGCTTCTGGATTGTGGTAAAATACAAGGCAGGTTGGCTAGCCTCTCAGTCCGACTCAGTCCCAAAGCCCATGGTCACACAACTTGTGTGCAGAGCTTGTTCTACTTGCGGATATTTGCGGCTTAATAAGTTAGTGATGAATTTTCATTTGGCACCACCCTTTGACCCCCTCTCAACCATTTTAACACACATTTTCCAATCTACACACCAACATGTCCAAACACCACCGAAAACTATCAAAAACATCAAAGCAGTGTAAACACAACAACTGTTTCCATTTTTCCCAAAACTTTGCCTCATTTTGACCGACATGAAAGTGCCTACCACTTCGCTCCAAAAGTCAAATTCCCATTATCAAAAAACATAACAAAAGCCAGTTTTCACCTCAAAAATGTCAATTTTGCACCCTAAAGTTTTGTTATTCATTCGCTTCAGAATTCAGTTTTTTTTTCAATTTGTCAAATAGTTTGCAACGCATTTTTATGCCAACAGAAAAAACCTACATTTTTGCAACGCCAAAAACCGCCCAATACCCCAAACTCATTTCCGACAAATGAAAATGGAAGTGCCCTTTTCATATGATTTTGCACCCCCAATCCCCAACCTAACAAACCATCTTGAAACATCATCCATGAAAACCCATCTTTCCACCCCACAACTCCAACACAAGACCCCTCACAAGCCCCATACCGTGAAGCACTTCCGAAAAAAAAACCTGCAAGCCTAATCCGCGAAAATACCAATGGTCATCTTAAATACAATAACGATAATTAACAAGGTTGAGGTTTGGGTATTAAGGTTGTAACAATCCGTAACATCTCAGGGTGGTAACTACACTACACTTATGCACTAACAAGCGGCATTTCTATGAGTAGCATATCTTACGCTTACCAAAGAAGATAAAATGTTTCACCTACCAGCAGGCTCACACTCTTTTTACAGCGCGCAGAGCGAAAAAAAACCTCTGTCTTTTTGCACCATTGGTGCAAGGGGGTGGGTGTGTGGGTCACCCTTGAGCCTAAAGCCTACGGAAGTGAAACACTACGCACGCGGAGCTAGGCTACCACGTTTCACCTACCACCAATCCCCACACTCTCTTTACAGCGCGCAGAGCGAAAACACCTTTGTCTTTTGCACCATTGGTGCACCCCGCCCCCGTTGAAAACAGCCCCTCCACCGTACAGGGGTTGTCGGTCACGAAACGTGACACGACAAGGACCGAGAGGGGGATGGGGAAGACTCCTCACTGCCGATCCTTCCACCAAAAAGGGTGGTGTCGGTTGCGAAACGCAACACGACAAGGACCAGCGGAGGTCAAGGTATTCAGGCGCTGGGAAAGCCCCTGACCGGGGTCATGTCGGCCGCAGCCATTCGTGCTGCTGTGTTCGCCGATGCTTTACGGGAGGTCCACGAATACGCTAAGAAGGCATCCGAGTTCCAACGTCCCCATGCCCTCAAAACATAAGAAGCGAAACCTCCAGCCCACATCGCCGACGCACCCCCAAATCGCAGGGAGTGTGGTGTGTATGCTTGTGGTTCCTCCCCCATAGATGCTGCCACGGTCTGCAAGACCTCCTGTATGTCGTGTCTCGATAGGTGTGGGAAGAATCTAGTTGCCGGTGCTGGCTCGCCAAGTTCTTCCCACAACAGGTCATGTAGCAGGCCGTCGCAAGCACGGGGCATACTTCGGCACCACTCTTATACAGATTTCGCGTGGCCGTTTCCCGTTCTGGGTCTGTTTTGGAGGCCCTCACCACAAGTTGGACTTCGCCAGCTTGACAGAAGGCCGGATATCGCAGCTGTTTCCCTTCCCGAACAAGACCAACATCTCGGACTCGGAGCCCCCAAGCGTGGGTTTGATCCTCCCACAAGTTCGGAGACTCGCAGCAGGAAAAAGAATCCGAGCTGGAGGGCACATGAAAGTCCCCGGCCCCAGAACTCCAGTGGCAGGGTGCTGTTGGCTCTTGTCAACATGCGCGGGGTGACCGGCCTCCGCTTCGTGAGTCAAATCCTTCAGCGTGCATCGCTTGCCCTTGAACAGCTTCCCAGAGTGGTCGACAACAAAGCTGAAGCCTGCCTTAGCTATCACATCCCGGGCCCTTAAGTAGAGGACCACTAAAACCCCATCCGAGCCGCGTCTTTCAGGGCCGGCTGTTGAGAGAAGGCTTCGGCAAGCTCTTGGACGAGGCTCGGATCGATGACGGTCGGCATGTTTACGAAGGTAGCAAGCTTTGTACCGGATTTGTTCAAAGCTTAGGTTTAGCCTCTAAATCACAATCGTTCGTCTTGCAACATGTAAGCCAAGCTTTGATCTTCGAAAGCCACATGTAGTCACCAAAAGTCTGCACTTCTACAGCTGTCGATATGCCTGCAAAGTCAAATGCAACCAGCAATCACAGCCGGAGTGCAAAGCACAAACACACAGAGTTGCAGTGCCAAATAAAACTGGGGCTAAGCATAAAGGAAACATGTACCGACCCAATAAGTTATAAGGTTATATGAATGGTAATTCGGTATTGAAGAATGAACAACTACCTGACTTGTATTTCTGGCAGTATTTTCGACATTTACAGTACTAACCACGCTGAAAGAACTGTGCAAACTGAAGCTAGATGCTTTGGTCTTTAGCGCGCATCAGAGTAGAGATCAGCCGGATTTTGCAGTGAACGTCTGGCAGAAGACAATGTTTCCCGGGAAGCGCTTGTCGTGTATCATGTAGTTGTGATGCATTTTCAGTGCACTTTGGCCTGCCCAACACTGTCTGTTTAAATTTGGTCCTGCATTCAAGTACACGGCTTGGGGCTTAGAACACAGACTCGAGGCTTCAAAGAGGAGGCCCGAGACCAAAAAACCAAAAACACCTAAAATCTGGGAGAGAATCTTTTGGTTTCGGCTGGATTTTTGATTGTTTTGGTTTTGCACTGTGGTTTTTTGGGTTTTTGTTTTTTTTGGTTTCCGCCGTTTCCCGATCGCTGAATCGTGCTAAAACCCTAGCAATTTTTGGTTTTTCATTCAAAAACCAAAACAACATATGTGTTTTTTGGTTTTCGCCGTTTCCCGATCGCTAAATCGTGCTAAAGCCTTAGCAATTTTTGGTTTTTCATTCAAACCAAAAAACACATGCGATTTGTTGGTTTTTCAGCGAGGTGACACCATGAAAACCAAAAAAACACATGTGTTTTTTTGGTTTTCGACCCAAAAACCCTAAAACAGTGTAAAATCAAAAAAAACAAAAATCCAGCCGAAACCAAAAGATTCTCTCCCAGATTTTGTGTTTTTGGTTTCTGGTTTCGGGTGGTTTTGCTGAGTCGCAAAATTGCGGGAAGCAGGTTCCCAAAACAAGTGGCTATATGCGTCAGTGTTTGAATAGAAAAGCAGAGCTTTCTCTGTGGAGAGCCCCAAAATGTGCCAAAACACAGATAGTTCTTCGCTTCTGACCAGGAAACCTAGGAAAAGCACGTATTTTTCAGGAGTTAGATAGAAAAACTGCTTCGCAAAATTGTGGAAAGCAAAGAGGCAAAAAGTACTGCAAAATACTGTCTTTTTCAAGATAAAAAGAAGACCGCTGGATCATGGGGGGGGGGGCGACCATATATAAGCAGGAAAATGTTCTACAGAAAAAGAACAGGATGAACTTATGAATGGCTGCTTGGATGTTATTAAAGATAGTGGTTATATCAGGGCCATTATGGAGAAGCGGAAATTCTAGATCAGGTACGCCGAATGGTTTTAATCCAGATACGCCGAATGGCTTAAATCCAATGGCAACGGCTAGGGACTGTATAATAAACCTGTTAGAACACTCATGGCCATACCTAATTGCGGTTTAATGAACTAACCAAACATAACATTATTAATTTTACAAGGTTATGGTTCTGAAGACTGTAGTTTCGATAGATAAAGCCATCTACGGAGATAACGCCGTTTATATATTAACAGGAAAAT